TTTTTCAAGTGTAATTGTAATTTTGTTTTAAAATTACAGTTTAATGTTATCATAATAATGCCAATTTTATTGATAAAAACAGCAAACTAACTTTGAAAATTAATTAATACTTTCATACTTACATCTTCAGAATCACTAGTATAATCACTGTCTTCAAATGGTGGTTCTTGATTTTCCACCAATTCTATAACTTGATTGATAATTATTTCTAATTGAGCACGTAGATCACTAAAAACAAACATTTATTTATATTCAGTAGAAAAACTTAGGATTTCCATTAACAAACTAGATTAAAGTTTATATAAACAACTTTCATTTATTAATACAGTAGACTTGTGATTATCTAGCTTAATGTGGCAGACAACTGAACCAGATAAGAAAAAAACTAGATACAGTAACACAAGACTGAAAATAAGGCATTTCTAGTCAAGTACATCTGTGCATCCCATAAGTGGGTTATTTTTCAGTTGTGATTTTTATTATTCATGTGGTAACATTTTGATACAAAATTTTCAGCAAAAGCAAGCCAGTAAGATGCCTGTAATTACCATGACACATTATCTGCAGAATAATCTACGTTTGAAATTGCATTTTTATGCATTATTAATATTTAATAACACTAAATGATAAATTATCACAAAAAATATGAAGTAATCACATTTTTATAATTATTTTGTATTTTTGTTTATATAAAAAATTTTATATAAACATGGCTGATCAGGCCAGATAATCATGGGCCAAATGATTTCAAGTCTACTATATAACAATAAAATATTTAATGTTAGGATTATTATTATATAATCCTAACATTAAATACTTTATTGGAAGAATATATTGAGATAAAAACAATTTCAATATTTATTCAATGCAACCAAACAAAAAGCAGATTAAACCTGATTGTTTTTGTTTGGCTTATTTAATTTGAACTATGACTTGCACTTATTATAATTGTTTTTATTTAAATCTAATCGGAATAAATAACTTCATATATTTTATAATAAACTTAAATTTATAAAAAATATTAAACAACAGAACTAAAGGAGTAAACTGAAATCTTACCCCCAATGAGAACCTTTAGTTGTTTTCTTCAACATATTTCTTTCAAATGCTCTGCTTCCACATCCGAACTGGGTAATGGCAAACATTTGAAGCAGCATTAGTGCTCTTCTTACTATTTTTGTAACTGTACCATTAAACCTCTGTAAAAATATTGAGACTTTAAAATTTACATTATTATAACAAAATTATTTCAATAGATTTTTCAAACTTACTTTATTTTCCAATGATTCGTGTAACTGATTTCTATGATGATCAGAAGCAAAATGTTCACCAGAATAATCTGAATGATCTAATATAGACAGTGATTTCTGAAAGAAAACAATTTAAACATTTAACTCTAATCTTTTAATACATATCAGAGTAAATTCTTTTCCCCATAATAAGTTTTTTTACATTTTTCAAGTAGAGACCTAAATTGATGTTGACATCTATAGATATTTTCAAGATAAATACAAATTTAATATAAGTTAAGATGGAAAATACAAGACCAATGAATTAAAATAACAAATTAAGCATTTGTTATTAATCCAGGAAAAAACTTAAATATTAAACTTTTTATTTATAACTAACAATATCAATGTTTGTCTTTGTTGTTCTGATTAAAAAATATATATAATTTATATTTTTAAACAGTGAGCAAAGCTGTAGATACGGATGTAAGCATGATCAACTAAATAGGACTCTGCTCTTAAAATTAAAAGTTTAAGTGTTAAATTACAATTGGTTAAGTAAGACTTGTAAAACAAAAAATTCTAGATTCTTATTCAATTTATATTAACAACTACATAATTAAAATTCAATAATTATGACAATTTAATATATAATTAAAATAATTTATAGTAAAATGTTGTTAGGAATGATAGATAATTCCTATATAAACTTCTAGTAAGTTCCTATAAAAAGTTCACAAAACCAAAAATTTGTAATAAATTTCAATTTAACACATTGACTGCCAATTACAAGTTAACTTGTATGTGATGGTTTCTTTTAGGACACTGCCTCCTATGAGTTATATCATAAAATGTAGTCTGGATACAACATCTAATACGAACATACTCATAAAAAAAATAAATGTGAATAATGAATAGTGGGTGCCTGGATTAAGAATTAAAAATAATTGTAGCATCACAGAACAGAATATTTATTTTTAAAAAAATGGAAAAATTTACATAATAAAATACAAAGTAAAACATAAAAAAGCATGATGGCATCAGGAGAGTGATTTTATTAATAATAAGTTGGCAGTTAACATATTAAACTTATATTTAACATAAACATATTACCAAATAAAAGTAAACTTTTATTTGGTAATATAACTTAACTTTTAGTTTTACTGTCACAGAATATACAGTGGAGTGTCGATTATCCGAAACGTCAATTATCCAAAAGAATTCCAGTCGACAAATTTAAATTTTCGCCAGTGCTGTGGCACTGCAATCTTTGGCTATGTCTTGGGCTACTCAAATATTTTACGTTTTTGATACTAAATTAACTTCTGAAGTATAATTTCTTATTGTTTTTATATTTTTCAATGTATTTATTTTGTTCGTACAAAATAAAAAAATAATTTTTAACGATACAATAGTCTTCGTTAGGCTTAACATCGACAAAACTTCAACGCAAAGAGACACGCAACAGAGAAAAATTTCAACATGCGATAGGTTAATATATTTTTTCGTACATAATCAGTTATCCAAAATATCGATTTTCCGAACAACCCCAGTCCCCAATTGATTCGGATAATCGACGCTCTAGTGTAATATTTGAAATAACTTTAATACTTACATTATGAACAGGACAGTTACAAGTACAATGTTGACCTTCATCATTTGTTTTGCCTAGAATAGAAAAACTAATTACTTAAAACATCTTTCTTAACTTTTTGTGAACTGTTTAATGGAAGTTTACAAAAATAGAGTTTAAGACTAATCTTTTAAAATTTCAATTTTTAGAAATTTTTTTAAACAAAAAAATAAGTAATTCAGGAATACTTTAGTCTCTCAGTTTACTTGCAAGTTTTTTTGTTATAAAGAAAAAAATTTCTATTAAAATTTATTTTGTTTAATAAATAATCTTATACAAAGAATATATATTATTTTCCATTATTTGAAAATTTATAATTCTAAAAACTGAAACTTGAGGTTTCCTTTTTTAATTATAAGAAAATCAAACCATAAACTTCATCTTAAATACTCTACAGAGAAATTTTTAAATTGAAACATTAATTGCACTAACTTTTTATTTAAAGTAGTAACTTTTTATTTAAAAATTACAATAATAAACAGGCTTCATTTTAAAATTCTGATGTTGACTGATAATTCTATGTTCTATTTTTTTAATTGTAGCTAAGTTCTACAAGTTGTTTACTAAAAATTTATGCTGGATTAATTTTTAAACTGGAAAACATTTCTGTTCTAACATTTTGATTTCTTTAACTTAATTGTTAGTACCATATTTAAAATATTAAAAAAAAATCAAGTTTTTCATAAATCTTTGTTAAAAATCTTTTCTTTATGATCATCATTTAGGTATAACTGATCATTGTATCTTTATCATAAAATTATTAACTTTAAATGAAATTTTTGAATACTTAATAAGTTATCAAAAACTTTATAGATACATAAAGACAATCAAATCTAAATTATTCTAATGATCAAATGATAAGACCAGATTAACTATTAAACTAGAACTTGGCTAAATAATTAGCAAAATTTTAGCCCAACGATTAATGTGGTCTTTTCATTCAATCAGGCAATTAATACTGATGTATTATTAATGTATAATTAGTAAAATTTGTGCTAAGGTTTCATCTAATTTAATTTATATTTGAGTAAATAAATTAGTACACAACTAATTTATTGTGATAAATGAGTTTTGTGATATACATTTTAAAGGAAAAATGAATTTAGATTTGAATATCAACTTTGATATCATTTGATTTAATTAAAAATTATTATTTCATTTAGTTATATGATAAAACAAGCTATACTATTTCCCTCAATCATGTTGCTTTATGAGATATGTGCCTATGTTTTATTATGCTACAAATACATTTTATTTCAAGAGAATATATTAAAAATATTAATTCACTATAAAACAAATTTTGAAAATATTACTAATTTCTATCTTATTCAATGAAATTGTTAACTAACATAAAGTTATCTTGTTTCTTTTTCGTATTCCATATTATTCAAAAAATGTATAAAATTAAACATTTATAGAACATATAATTATTTGCTTTTTTTCCAATATTGTCCAAAATTTATTACTTAAGTTACTAGTAATTTTTCAAAAATATGCCATTAGTATAGGTATAAAAGTTTTTAAAAGAAGCCAAAGTATTTGTAAATTGTTTCTATTCGATTTTTTTATTGAGTTTTAATAAACTCATTCTGATCTTTTTAGAACTATATCAATTAAGAAAATGCTACATGTAACTTTAAAGTTTCTTAAAATATAATTATCACATTAATATTTTGATTCAATACAGCATTAAAATTAAGGCTCTTAATTACATTAGAACCTACCTTGAAGAAATTCAATAAATCTTTCTAGATCAGATATCTGTGTCTTCAATTGAGCTACTAACTGTTCTTTCATTTTTACAGGATTAACCAACTTTACAGGTGTTAGTAAGAAAATAGTTCGAGATTAGAATTATTAAATGTTAGTATTATTAGTATGATGTTAAAATTCTTAATTATGAAATATTAATAATTTAAATAAATTAAACCTATCACCAGCACCGTTCAGTACAAATTTCAATTATATCAACTCAATCAAACAAAATTTAATTTATTTTGTTATAAACTAAATAAGACATTTAACTGAATCTTCGAAATTATAAAAAATACACACAGTTTCTTATAAAGTTGATATTCAGTAAATAAATTGAAAATCCAAAATCTTCTGTTCATCCAAAAAATTATTCTTAAATACATTTTAAGTTCTTTATGTACTGGTATATTCTTCAATTATCCTTAAATACTACTATTAAATACTATTAAAATCAATTTTACCTGTCTAATTGCTTTATCAACTTGCATTCGTAACTCTTCAGGACTCATTTGATCCCCGATTTCAAAATCTATTGGTAATTTTCCTCTCAACTGTTCAATTATAACTGACTGTCTTTCCAAAATCATACTTTGAGGCATTCCAGCTTCTCCAGTCTAAAATTAAAAACTGATGATTATGAAATGAAAAAAAAAATTCCTTAAATGTAAAACCTCTTATATATATTTTATCAATTGGATAAAATGTCTAAAATATATAATTTTATTTCAGAATTTAAAACCAAACTAAACAATTTAAACTGTATTAAAATAAGTAAAATAATGACCAATTCTGTAATTAAACGCATTTTAAAATTGTTATTCATTTATTATTGTTATAGGTGATTTATTTATTGTAATCTATACTGTCCAGATATCTAATATATATGGTGAAATTTGTAGTTGTTCACTTAAATATATGTAGTGCTGTGTCTCAAAACATAGCATATGTGGTTCACAAATTTCAGTCATAATGTGTTCCTAAAAATGTGAATAAAATCTGAATTCTGAAAATCACTAATAAAACTGCATGTTATAAAAGGAGTACCATTTTCAAAGACCTCAAAAAATTCATAAATACTCTCTTAAGGGAAATTTTACTTTTTTGCATTCAATATGGTTACAAGATTTAACATTTTAAATGTTAAAAGTATAGATTAAACAGAAAAACATAAAAAAATTTTATCAAAACATGTAAAAAGAACAAGTTGTCCAAAAGTTGAAAACTGCTTGTATTTAGATTTAACACACATTCTGAAATTTCGGACATACCTTCTTCCAACTATTCATCAAACTGAAGATTTGTTTTGTTGTTATGATTTTGTTACATTTATGTTCTAGTCCAATCAAAACACACAAACAAAATTAATAATGAAAGCCATCTCAAATACCTAATTGTTGTAAAAGCTACTACCAGATGGTGTCTAAAAAGTTTATCTGAATGCAGTGATTAGTTAACACAGAGAATCAAAGATGTTGTGGCCATTTCATTCTTTTGACTCTGTAAATGTGACTTATTTGTGTGAATGCCTGAAAAAAATTGGTATATAAACGTAACACCAAAACAAAACAAAAAAACTACAAATAAAGATCAAAAATGTCATATGAGAAATTACATCAGATAAACTTCCAACATATTTTCCATAATTTATTGATGAGATGCAAAACATGCATTGAACAGAATGGTGACAACTTCCAGTACATTTGTAGTGAAGTATTTCACCTTTCCTTGGCTTGCATTAAATTACAATTTTACTAATTTGTCTACTTGTCATTTCTTTCAGCTGTATTTTTAGAAGTGTCACACTAAAATAGCCAATAAAAGTTACATTCACAGTAAAGATATTAAAAGAATTTCAAATAAAGCATACACAAATTTTTAGAAAGTTAAATAATAATAGCCACAATTAAAATTGTAATCACAAACAAATAAATTATTAGTTATATATGTAAAACAACAATAGTTAAAATAAGAAAGATATAAACTAGTAAATTTTTATGTATATAAGTTCATTTAATTGCTTTTAAATCACTCATTGCTTGTGTAGTAATAGTTTCTGGAGAATCACATTAAAAACAAAAATATAATAGTTGTTTTGTTTGGTTCAATGTCACTACTTGGTGAATTTATTGACACTTGGCAAATAATTTCATCGTCAACTTTTAATCCATATAGATACATGTTTCAAGCTTTCGCCCCTCTTCAGTCTGTTACATAGATATGTTGTATCTTGTGGACATCTGTCAGGCACCTTCAGCACTATGTCTTCCCACTCCCCTTCCCTTCCGACTTGACGGCCTCCCACGCATGCCTCGCAATGTCTCACTCCCAGAATGCCACACACAGCCTCACCTGCGACTGCATAAAAATTCTATTTTAATTAATAGTTGTAACCAGCTTTTATGAATTTCTATGCTTAGATTCTTGTTAATATTATTTTTGTCTGTAGTAATTTCGTAGCTTTCCTTAAATTTTCTTTTGTACCAATTTTTTTCTTTGTGTATTATTATAATGAAGAAGAAGAATTAAACAAGAAGAAGAAGAAGACACAGTTTCGACAAATAAATAAAATAATAGTTGTTTTTTTAAGATAGCACTAATCAGCTGAATTCTATTTTTAGCATGTTACATCCATTAAAAATGAAACACAATAAACTTTTGTTTACAAATTGAACCATCACTTGACTAAGTTTATGATTTTGCTAAATTGCAATTGGATAATAATTTATGCAAGAGATAAAATTTTTTATTAAGTCTATATATCGAACAATGATTCAAAGACAACACCATGCTGATAGCATTGTTTTTTTAAGTAAAAACAAAAAACACAGAGTACACCTTAATGTTTACCTACAGGAATTTTCATTGCCAATACAAATGTATATACTCAATCACCTGACAAAGTGGATTGTTCCTTGTAATTAAGCACATTCCAAAACCAATGGATCTGATGATATTATTTAAGCCTAGTCCTATGCATATGATATTTACTACTATTGAAACAGTAAAACAATTTGTGCATTTAAATATTTTAAAACAGTAATCTCTCAAATATGCAATATTTATTAGTCATTGTAAACAATAAGTTAATTTTTTATATTTATAAAAATGCATTCGACTTTTAAACACTAGTACAGGTATCCCTTGTACAACAAGGCACATCTACAATATGGTTTTTCTCTAATATGCTGGAAAATTGGGGATATCCCTCATACAACATGGTTTCTGGTGTCACTCTAACACAGTTCTAGAATTCAGGAAATCATCTGTACAAAATTTTACAATTTTTAAGTGCAAACTCCATTATTTGATATTTTCTTATTCAAGCAAGCATATGTGTAATCTCAAATTACCCATGGATTTTACAATATTGAAATTTTCAATTTGTTTTGTGCCTTTTGTCAGGTTTACTTTAATGAAAACTGATAGGAAAGCTAGGACAAAAAAAAAATTGTACCATCAACCATATATTGTTGGCATTTCTTTCAGACAATAGCATTTAAGACTGTCGCCATGTTTTGGTTTTATAGCTTAATCTTCATATTTACTAAACTTTATTGAAACATTTTTAGGTGTGTTATTAAACTTATTTTTAACCATAGTTAAGTAATGGGTGTGATGCTATTAAATTTTGATGGTTTAAGGTCAACGGAGTGGGGAGATAAAGGATGGTCATGTGTTGTATCTCGAGTAGAGTCAGACTTAATGATTTTACCCGTTATTAGCATTTACAATTTTTTATAAAACACATCCCTACTTTCAAAATTAAGCTTTTTGCCATTTTATAACATTAAAAATGTAAACAGTTTTTTAAATGAAATATCGTAACAGATAGTGCCACCAGAATTTTAAATGTTGCCATGAAAGTTAAGCAATTCGTTGCTGGATTTTTATGTTTAAATCAATTCACATTAATTGAGATGAGGAATCCAGAAATGTAATGGAAAATGGCAAAGTTTTATCAAAATGAATACATTAAATTTTGAAAACAAACTCAATTCTATAACCTCATACAAGATGGGCTAGCAATTGTGAAACATAGCGTGACTTTGTTGTGTGATTTGTGCAATATCACTTTGTAATGCGCTTGTGAAACAACACTGTATCTTGAAAACAAAGTCATGGACCCCCATTTTTTATTGCATTTTTGGATTCCGCATTGCAATTAATGGAAAATGACAAAGTTTAATCAAAATCTATCAAATGGATTTTGAGAATGAATACAATACTGTAAGCCTCATAGAAGAAGCTTCACTAATGCTTCAATAATCAATATAAAGATGATAAAATTTCCTTAAAGTAGTTATAAAATAATTTGTGCTCTTTTTATATAAACATGTAAGACTAGCAGACCCCACCACATGTTGTTGTGGCTCAAAATGTATCTATTATAAATGTATAACACTTCCCCCGTGTGGGGGAAAATTTTTCGAAACATTTCTTCTTAGTGTACATTCTCTTGGCGTACCCTATTAAAACGCAATCAAAAACGCAAAAACCTGCATCTAAAATAGTATAATAGAAGCCAAGTTCTTCAAGGTAAGCCTTAATTCTGTCTCTTCCCCACGGGGGGAATATTGAAAAATCCCTTTTTAGTGTATATTCTGTTGACATACCCTATTAAAACGCAATCAAAAACGCAAAAAACCGCATCTAAAATAGTATAAATAGAAGCAGAGTTCTTTACGGTAAGCCTTAATCCTGTCCATCTCCCGGGGGGGGAATTTCAAAGGGATCGATAGGTACAAACGAACATTACATTTTTATTTATATAGATAGATAGAAGATGATCTGCTTTAGTTCATCCTCACAGAAAAGCAAACTTAGGGCGTCATACTCGTAGCGCCATCTGTTGGACATAAAAGCCTTAACCCTAGACAAAAATCCATTGTAGTTTTATTTAATTAATAAAAAATCTGCAGGTTTGATTAGTGGTAAACATTCCGGGGGTCATAAAGATGCTACAGTTAAAATTTGGTAACGATTGGTTCAGTAGTTTTCACGGTTAGTGGTCACAAACGAAAAATACGTTGTCTCTTTATATAGTAGTATAGATTTATTACAATTAGAATACATTTAACAATTCAATTTAAACAATTTATTTTAAAATAAAAAAAATCATGGTCAATAAGAAACTTCCTGGCCATTTCTATTTTTCCTGATAAGTGTGGGCACCTATTGTATTTAATTCTATTATAAAATCACAAAATAAATTTTAGGTAAAATGTTTAAATAAATAATCTACACAACCACTCACCACACCATATAGTTAATCACATATTCTGAACCAATTATGGGTGTAGATGTGTAAAGTTTTTTGTTTTCCTCATCTACACACCATAATTGGTTCATAATATGTGATGAAATAATCTACAGTTATATTACCTCATATGCATACTGTTCCAAGTCTTCTAATTGATTTTTCAGTTTACATATTAATTCTTTTTGCTTAATTCTTTGTTGGGCTAATTTCTGTTCATGCTCCTGTTCAGTCTGCAATTAATATTTTAAACAATTTATTAAACTGATTTCAAATATGATAATTAGAATTTTAAAAAATAGTATAGTTTTATGTTTAAAATAATTAATAATCTAAATTAACTGATTTATATTATAAACCAGTGTAAATCAATTGAAATTTAATGCAAATAAAGACAGTATATATTAAGTATAAAAGTTTCTAGAAAAATCCACATAAGTTTGTGTAACAGTTTTTACCCTGGAAAAAAAATGCTATGAACTAAATAGTCATTTGAAAAGTGATGAAAGGCTTACATTATCTTTTATTTTTGTAATTGTACAAGTCCTTTAACTTTGGGTGTGCAGTGTAAGTTTCTGTACAAGACTTTGATTCAAATTTTTCAGACTACTTTATGAGATAGATCTGTTTTTTTTGCATTCTATCCCTTTCAGAAATGGCTGCCTTGAGAATTACCCAAAAATTCTCAACTGGTCTAATTTCTAGCACATTTGCGGGTTGTCCTTCTTTTCAAGGTAATTCAGCATGGTTTTGGCATAGTGGGAACTTGCTTCATCTGGCTAGAAGACAATCTGCTTGAGAGTACTTTAAATGTAAGGAATCAGGCAACATTGTATACATTCATTTAAATATCACTGCGTATTGGAAGCAAACTTGATTTTCTGATTAAGGCATGGTACAATCCTTTCAGCCCCATTGCAATCTAAACCAAAACTTTCCCTCAAATTTATTTTTCTTGGAAAATTTTACATTGTCAAGTCTAAAGATTTCACTGGCATAAAATCAACCATTACCATTGATTGTCAAATAAAAAAGGGTGAAGTAAAATTCATCATCAGAAATGAAGAACTTTTCAGAGAACTTTCACAATAATCTTCCATATTTCATCTTTGCCAGTGATTTTTGTATATCCATTCTGTCTGGCACTACCTGCTTATTTTGACATTTAATGTGTTTTTGTTTTCAAAACCATGTGAAGCCAAGTATGTGAAATTTTCAGTTTCAGACTATAGATTGAATTGAAACCTTGTCACTGTTTTCAAAGGTCCTCTTCAATCCTCCCAACTTGGCTTTCATTAGGATTTTCACTTTTCTACCACTTTCCTCTCTGTGGTAGTAATCCACTCTTGAAACATTGATGAATGCAATATATAATCTTTTTTTGAAATTTCTTCATTCACAAATTGGTTTATAATAAACTTTCTCCTAATGTTTTAATTAATATTTAAATGTTGTACATTCTTAGGCAAAAAGAATCATCTTTTGCTTCCATTTTGAAAGAAGCAGAAAATAAAATGTACAAAAAGATTTTAGAAAGTTCTACTGCATTCAACACTTTCAAATTATAGTACATGCAGCATAATTAAATTATTGGCTGTTAGCTAGAACCCAAGATTTTTTTTTGTGGATTTTTTCTAGTCACCTAGTAGACAGCTTTTTAAAATTCTTTTCTATAAACTGGTCTTCTTTAGAAGAAATAAACCTAAATCATAAAAGCATGTCAAATACAATCTTCTGTTCAAATGCAATGCCTTTATAATTCATATATAACTTATCTGTAGAAGGCCTATTAAAAGATATATTAGATTTAAATATTTATGAATGAACTATTGTTATAGAAAAAACTCTGTATATTATTAAAATTACACAATATTTGAATGATTGATTTATTAATACAAAGAACCTTCATATTAAGATACATTATCAATTACAATTTCTTATTATAAATGGATTTGGTCCACAATGAAGTTTGCTAGCATGAGAATTGTTTAATTTTGATTGTCTTCATATCTTGCTGTAATGCAGTTATAAATACAAGCTGAATCACATTTATTTATAATAACAGTTATTTTAAAATACATAATTTTATCAAAAGTAGAAGCGAAATAAAAGTAAAAAGTTATTGTCATTTCTGATGCAGCATAAACAAATGAACAAACGATATAGAAAACTTATTAAATTAATTAGTTGTGCAATAAATGTTTTTAACTTCAACTAATTAATCTAATTAATTTCAGGTTAAAGTGAGATAATAAGATAGATCAATTTTGTAATTATCCAAGAACAGAAGTAACTTTTGACATTTTAAAAACATTAATAATAGTTGCTAAAAGTCCTTGAACACTTAGAATTATCTCATCTTTATTTTGAGTCATCATCAATAACCATTTAAAACCATAAATGAATTATGTATGAAAGAATTCAATTTATAAATTTTGAAAAAGTTGAATAGAATTTTTAAAGACCTGGTTATTGAAAATATCCATTTTGATTTTCTGTGTATAAATAACAAACTATTTACTGTTCACATAGTGAAGAATATTGAATCAATAGTTGAAATAATGCAGCATTATTTAAATATTAAAACTATATTTTGTTATTAAAGAATATTTTGTTTTAATTATTTTTCTCTGATGGAAAAGATGTTTTAGCTGTATCTAATATAATGAAGTTCTTGAAGGAGGAGGAAAAATAATAAATATTAATAATTTAATCTTTCTTTTTTTAACTGTCCATTATTGAAATTGTTTTAAAATAAGTTAGGTACACTAATTCTATTTTTGAAGCTCTTTATATTCAAAGTTCTTTATAACAGCATTATATAATTAAATGCTGATCCTAGACTTTTTAAAGCTGCACCAATAATATATATATGTAACTTATCAAATTTATTAAAATGCTGTACTCACTAGGTCTTCCATACTTTAACATATTCCTTTTGTGTTCTTAGAAAAATTAGATACTTAAAAATAAAGCAAAGAATCTTATTTCCTTAAAATGAAAATTTGAAGATTAAGTAATATTTGTAAAACTAATCATTAAAATTAAAAATTTTTATTTTTACACTAGCAATTTTATGTTATTATTTGAATAACTAATTTCGTAATGACTTTTTGTTACATCTTATAAAAAATTAATAAATGTTTTAATTACCACAGCTTGGGTTAATTGTACACCAGTCTTATAGTCTCTGATATCAGGAATACCACTAAATGCAAATTCTTCCAGATCTTTCAAAAGTGTCTACAAAAGTAATTTAATTTCAATAAAATCTTTTTAATATTACAAAATCTAAAAATATGGTAAAATTTTACTTCTTTTTCTTGCGGAGTCGCATCGACTATTTGTTTTAGGCGAAATTGAACCTGAGCAAAATGTGTTGTTAATGCAATTAATGAAGAATTTAATTGATCTTGTTCCTCTTCTAATTTTTGAAGTCTCTCTCTTTCATCATAATTTCTAAAAATAAAAGAAAGTGATATAAATATAATTTTCTTTCTATTAAAATATTAAAATTTATTACATTCTAACAATTTTAGAAAATATATTTGATATATTTTATATATTTATTTAAATACTACAATATGTTTTACAATTTTAAATTAGTAAGTTTGTAAAATTCAATAATTTATATTGATAACAATAAACAGGATTTAAAAATCATTACTAAAACAATTCAAATATTTTCATTATTAAAGAATAACTTCTTCAAAAACAAACAAAATTCAAAATAGAATATGTTAAATGACTTTATAAGTGCTTTTATATTGAATTATATTTATATTGCTTTAAAGTGCTTTTATAGACATAGAAATGCCTCAAAATTGACAATGAAGAAGAAAGCATCAACAGGAGTGGTTACAAGTCTGTTGTTCAGAAGAGATTCTGTAAAACAGGAATTTTTGCATATAAGACCAAGAAGAAACTATTAACAACAAAGAAAACGAAAAAAGCAAGATTGGAATGGGTCAAAATGCATTGCAACTTGACAATGGAACAATGATAACATCATATTTTCAGATAAGAGCCATTTTTAATTATCCAGTGACCAACTCTAACTGGTAGACAACTTGTTGCAAAGTGGATGAAAAAGTATTATTCAGAATGCCTAGTCAGTCCAAAAAGTATTCTTCTTCAGTAATAACTTGGAGTGCAATCACTTACAATGACATTTGAAGGCTTTGTTTCATGGACAGCACGATAAATTCAAATTGGTATAAAATTGTCATACCGATTTGAAATAAAAGATACATTTGGATTTTCCAACTCTCTGCCACATGTCTAGACAGATAAGTGGACATTTCTAGTTTTAATGATATTCAATTCCTTTAAAATATAAATAATTATCCGTTCAGTTGTTTCGGGGTCAAGAGACGCGAGGCCTCCCCCATCGGTAATGATCCTTCCGCAGGTTCGACAAAGTAGTTAATACCTTAAAATATAAATAATTATCCGTTCAGTTGTTTCGGGGTCAAGAGACGCGAGGCCTCCCCCATCGGTAATGATCCTTCCGCAGGTTCGACAAAGTAGTTAATACCTTAAAATATAAATAATTATCAACATTTTGCTCTTCCAGATGCAAAAGAATGTAATCTCAACCCAATTGAAAATGTATGTATCTCATGACTCTTGAAGTTCAAAAAGCACAGCATTCAAAAGAATGAGAGCCAGTAGAAAATGCTGTTCATACATGGCACTATAACATTAGTTATGATGTTATTTGAAGCCTGACTGACAGCATGCCAGAGCAAATTCAGAACGTTATTAAAGCCAAAAGTGATGTCACAAATATTAATGATTAAAACATATACACCAATGTATTTGTATCTTGTTTTCATGAATATTTTATCTAAACTGTTTGTTTATTAGCTCTTCTTCAAACATATTCTCAAAACAGGTTTCTACATTTTCACAAATCATATTGTTATTGCTATCAGAAAAGAATAAATTACAATAAACTGGACTTGGCAGTTCTTATTTTCCTTCTACATTTATCACTACTTATCACTAATACATCATACCCATCATAGATTACACCTACATTATTAACATATTGTGTGCCTGCTGATTCATATAAACTCAGCAGGCACACAATACTTTAGAACACTAACATATTTTATATAATGCCAAACAATTTCAGGATTATATTGGGGTATATTAATGCTACTATTAATAATTAAATGCTATGTAATATGGCCTAGAATTAGGCATTACGTNTTGTCTTTGTTGTTCTGATTAAAAAATATATATAATTTATATTTTTAAACAGTGAGCAAAGCTGTAGATACGGATGTAAGCATGATCAACTAAATAGGACTCTGCTCTTAAAATTAAAAGTTTAAGTGTTAAATTACAATTGGTTAAGTAAGACTTGTAAAACAAAAAATTCTAGATTCTTATTCAATTTATATTAACAACTACATAATTAAAATTCAATAATTATGACAATTTAATATATAATTAAAATAATTTATAGTAAAATGTTGTTAGGAATGATAGATAATTCCTATATAAACTTCTAGTAAGTTCCTATAAAAAGTTCACAAAACCAAAAATTTGTAATAAATTTCAATTTAACACATTGACTGCCAATTACAAGTTAACTTGTATGTGATGGTTTCTTTTAGGACACTGCCTCCTATGAGTTATATCATAAAATGTAGTCTGGATACAACATCTAATACGAACATACTCATAAAAAAAATAAATGTGAATAATGAATAGTGGGTGCCTGGATTAAGAATTAAAAATAATTGTAGCATCACAGAACAGAATATTTATTTTTAAAAAAATGGAAAAATTTACATAATAAAATACAAAGTAAAACATAAAAAAGCATGATGGCATCAGGAGAGTGATTTTATTAATAATAAGTTGGCAGTTAACATATTAAACTTATATTTAACATAAACATATTACCAAATAAAAGTAAAATGAAATTTTGTGTTTAACTTTTAGTTTTACTGTCACAGAATATACAGTGGAGTGTCGATTATCCGAAACGTCAATTATCCAAAAGAATTCCAGTCGACAAATTTAAATTTTCGCCAGTGCTGTGGCACTGCAATCTTTGGCTATGTCTTGGGCTACTCAAATATTTTACGTTTTTGATACTAAATTAACTTCTGAAGTATAATTTCTTATTGTTTTTATATTTTTCAATGTATTTATTTTGTTCGTACAAAATAAAAAAATAATTTTTAACGATACAATAGTCTTCGTTAGGCTTAACATCGACAAAACTTCAACGCAAAGAGACACGCAACAGAGAAAAATTTCAACATGCGATAGGTTAATATATTTTTTCGTACATAATCAGTTATCCAAAATATCGATTTTCCGAACAACCCCAGTCCCCAATTGATTCGGATAATCGACGCTCTAGTGTAATATTTGAAATAACTTTAATACTTACATTATGAACAGGACAGTTACAAGTACAATGTTGACCTTCATCATTTGTTTTGCCTAGAATAGAAAAACTAATTACTTAAAACATCTTTCTTAACTTTTTGTGAACTGTTTAATGGAAGTTTACAAAAATAGAGTTTAAGACTAATCTTTTAAAATTTCAATTTTTAGAAATTTTTTTAAACAAAAAAATAAGTAATTCAGGAATACTTTAGTCTCTCAGTTTACTTGCAAGTTTTTTTGTTATAAAGAAAAAAATTTCTATTAAAATTTATTTTGTTTAATAAATAATCTTATACAAAGAATATATATTATTTTCCATTATTTGAAAATTTATAATTCTAAAAACTGAAACTTGAGGTTTCCTTTTTTAATTATAAGAAAATCAAACCATAAACTTCATCTTAAATACTCTACAGAGAAATTTTTAAATTGAAACATTAATTGCACTAACTTTTTATTTAAAGTAGTAACTTTTTATTTAAAAATTACAATAATAAACAGGCTTCATTTTAAAATTCTGATGTTGACTGATAATTCTATGTTCTATTTTTTTAATTGTAGCTAAGTTCTACAAGTTGTTTACTAAAAATTTATGCTGGATTAATTTTTAAACTGGAAAACATTTCTGTTCTAACATTTTGATTTCTTTAACTTAATTGTTAGTACCATATTTAAAATATTAAAAAAAAATCAAGTTTTTCATAAATCTTTGTTAAAAATCTTTTCTTTATGATCATCATTTAGGTATAACTGATCATTGTATCTTTATCATAAAATTATTAACTTTAAATGAAATTTTTGAATACTTAATAAGTTATCAAAAACTTTATAGATACATAAAGACAATCAAATCTAAATTATTCTAATGATCAAATGATAAGACCAGATTAACTATTAAACTAGAACTTGGCTAAATAATTAGCAAAATTTTAGCCCAACGATTAATGTGGTCTTTTCATTCAATCAGGCAATTAATACTGATGTATTATTAATGTATAATTAGTAAAATTTGTGCTAAGGTTTCATCTAATTTAATTTATATTTGAGTAAATAAATTAGTACACAACTAATTTATTGTGATAAATGAGTTTTGTGATATACATTTTAAAGGAAAAATGAATTTAGATTTGAATATCAACTTTGATATCATTTGATTTAATTAAAAATTATTATTTCATTTAGTTATATGATAAAACAAGCTATACTATTTCCCTCAATCATGTTGCTTTATGAGATATGTGCCTATGTTTTATTATGCTACAAATACATTTTATTTCAAGAGAATATATTAAAAATATTAATTCACTATAAAACAAATTTTGAAAATATTACTAATTTCTATCTTATTCAATGAAATTGTTAACTAACATAAAGTTATCTTGTTTCTTTTTCGTATTCCATATTATTCAAAAAATGTATAAAATTAAACATTTATAGAACATATAATTATTTGCTTTTTTTCCAATATTGTCCAAAATTTATTACTTAAGTTACTAGTAATTTTTCAAAAATATGCCATTAGTATAGGTATAAAAGTTTTTAAAAGAAGCCAAAGTATTTGTAAATTGTTTCTATTCGATTTTTTTATTGAGTTTTAATAAACTCATTCTGATCTTTTTAGAACTATATCAATTAAGAAAATGCTACATGTAACTTTAAAGTTTCTTAAAATATAATTATCACATTAATATTTTGATTCAATACAGCATTAAAATTAAGGCTCTTAATTACATTAGAACCTACCTTGAAGAAATTCAATAAATCTTTCTAGATCAGATATCTGTGTCTTCAATTGAGCTACTAACTGTTCTTTCATTTTTACAGGATTAACCAACTTTACAGGTGTTAGTAAGAAAATAGTTCGAGATTAGAATTATTAAATGTTAGTATTATTAGTATGATGTTAAAATTCTTAATTATGAAATATTAATAATTTAAATAAATTAAACCTATCACCAGCACCGTTCAGTACAAATTTCAATTATATCAACTCAATCAAACAAAATTTAATTTATTTTGTTATAAACTAAATAAGACATTTAACTGAATCTTCGAAATTATAAAAAATACACACAGTTTCTTATAAAGTTGATATTCAGTAAATAAATTGAAAATCCAAAATCTTCTGTTCATCCAAAAAATTATTCTTAAATACATTTTAAGTTCTTTATGTACTGGTATATTCTTCAATTATCCTTAAATACTACTATTAAATACTATTAAAATCAATTTTACCTGTCTAATTGCTTTATCAACTTGCATTCGTAACTCTTCAGGACTCATTTGATCCCCGATTTCAAAATCTATTGGTAATTTTCCTCTCAACTGTTCAATTATAACTGACTGTCTTTCCAAAATCATACTTTGAGGCATTCCAGCTTCTCCAGTCTAAAATTAAAAACTGATGATTATGAAATGAAAAAAAAAATTCCTTAAATGTAAAACCTCTTATATATATTTTATCAATTGGATAAAATGTCTAAAATATATAATTTTATTTCAGAATTTAAAACCAAACTAAACAATTTAAACTGTATTAAAATAAGTAAAATAATGACCAATTCTGTAATTAAACGCATTTTAAAATTGTTATTCATTTATTATTGTTATAGGTGATTTATTTATTGTAATCTATACTGTCCAGATATCTAATATATATGGTGAAATTTGTAGTTGTTCACTTAAATATATGTAGTGCTGTGTCTCAAAACATAGCATATGTGGTTCACAAATTTCAGTCATAATGTGTTCCTAAAAATGTGAATAAAATCTGAATTCTGAAAATCACTAATAAAACTGCATGTTATAAAAGGAGTACCATTTTCAAAGACCTCAAAAAATTCATAAATACTCTCTTAAGGGAAATTTTACTTTTTTGCATTCAATATGGTTACAAGATTTAACATTTTAAATGTTAAAAGTATAGATTAAACAGAAAAACATAAAAAAATTTTATCAAAACATGTAAAAAGAACAAGTTGTCCAAAAGTTGAAAACTGCTTGTATTTAGATTTAACACACATTCTGAAATTTCGGACATACCTTCTTCCAACTATTCATCAAACTGAAGATTTGTTTTGTTGTTATGATTTTGTTACATTTATGTTCTAGTCCAATCAAAACACACAAACAAAATTAATAATGAAAGCCATCTCAAATACCTAATTGTTGTAAAAGCTACTACCAGATGGTGTCTAAAAAGTTTATCTGAATGCAGTGATTAGTTAACACAGAGAATCAAAGATGTTGTGGCCATTTCATTCTTTTGACTCTGTAAATGTGACTTATTTGTGTGAATGCCTGAAAAAAATTGGTATATAAACGTAACACCAAAACAAAACAAAAAAACTACAAATAAAGATCAAAAATGTCATATGAGAAATTACATCAGATAAACTTCCAACATATTTTCCATAATTTATTGATGAGATGCAAAACATGCATTGAACAGAATGGTGACAACTTCCAGTACATTTGTAGTGAAGTATTTCACCTTTCCTTGGCTTGCATTAAATTACAATTTTACTAATTTGTCTACTTGTCATTTCTTTCAGCTGTATTTTTAGAAGTGTCACACTAAAATAGCCAATAAAAGTTACATTCACAGTAAAGATATTAAAAGAATTTCAAATAAAGCATACACAAATTTTTAGAAAGTTAAATAATAATAGCCACAATTAAAATTGTAATCACAAACAAATAAATTATTAGTTATATATGTAAAACAACAATAGTTAAAATAAGAAAGATATAAACTAGTAAATTTTTATGTATATAAGTTCATTTAATTGCTTTTAAATCACTCATTGCTTGTGTAGTAATAGTTTCTGGAGAATCACATTAAAAACAAAAATATAATAGTTGTTTTGTTTGGTTCAATGTCACTACTTGGTGAATTTATTGACACTTGGCAAATAATTTCATCGTCAACTTTTAATCCATATAGATACATGTTTCAAGCTTTCGCCCCTCTTCAGTCTGTTACATAGATATGTTGTATCTTGTGGACATCTGTCAGGCACCTTCAGCACTATGTCTTCCCACTCCCCTTCCCTTCCGACTTGACGGCCTCCCACGCATGCCTCGCAATGTCTCACTCCCAGAATGCCACACACAGCCTCACCTGCGACTGCATAAAAATTCTATTTTAATTAATAGTTGTAACCAGCTTTTATGAATTTCTATGCTTAGATTCTTGTTAATATTATTTTTGTCTGTAGTAATTTCGTAGCTTTCCTTAAATTTTCTTTTGTACCAATTTTTTTCTTTGTGTATTATTATAATGAAGAAGAAGAATTAAACAAGAAGAAGAAGAAGACACAGTTTCGACAAATAAATAAAATAATAGTTGTTTTTTTAAGATAGCACTAATCAGCTGAATTCTATTTTTAGCATGTTACATCCATTAAAAATGAAACACAATAAACTTTTGTTTACAAATTGAACCATCACTTGACTAAGTTTATGATTTTGCTAAATTGCAATTGGATAATAATTTATGCAAGAGATAAAATTTTTTATTAAGTCTATATATCGAACAATGATTCAAAGACAACACCATGCTGATAGCATTGTTTTTTTAAGTAAAAACAAAAAACACAGAGTACACCTTAATGTTTACCTACAGGAATTTTCATTGCCAATACAAATGTATATACTCAATCACCTGACAAAGTGGATTGTTCCTTGTAATTAAGCACATTCCAAAACCAATGGATCTGATGATATTATTTAAGCCTAGTCCTATGCATATGATATTTACTACTATTGAAACAGTAAAACAATTTGTGCATTTAAATATTTTAAAACAGTAATCTCTCAAATATGCAATATTTATTAGTCATTGTAAACAATAAGTTAATTTTTTATATTTATAAAAATGCATTCGACTTTTAAACACTAGTACAGGTATCCCTTGTACAACAAGGCACATCTACAACATGGTTTTTCTCTAATATGCTGGAAAATTGGGGATATCCCTCATACAACATGGTTTCTGGTGTCACTCTAACACAGTTCTAGAATTCAGGAAATCATCTGTACAAAATTTTACAATTTTTAAGTGCAAACTCCATTATTTGATATTTTCTTATTCAAGCAAGCATATGTGTAATCTCAAATTACCCATGGATTTTACAATATTGAAATTTTCAATTTGTTTTGTGCCTTTTGTCAGGTTTACTTTAATGAAAACTGATAGGAAAGCTAGGACAAAAAAAAAATTGTACCATCAACCATATATTGTTGGCATTTCTTTCAGACAATAGCATTTAAGACTGTCGCCATGTTTTGGTTTTATAGCTTAATCTTCATATTTACTAAACTTTATTGAAACATTTTTAGGTGTGTTATTAAACTTATTTTTAACCATAGTTAAGTAATGGGTGTGATGCTATTAAATTTTGATGGTTTAAGGTCAACGGAGTGGGGAGATAAAGGATGGTCATGTGTTGTATCTCGAGTAGAGTCAGACTTAATGATTTTACCCGTTATTAGCATTTACAATTTTTTATAAAACACATCCCTACTTTCAAAATTAAGCTTTTTGCCATTTTATAACATTAAAAATGTAAACAGTTTTTTAAATGAAATATCGTAACAGATAGTGCCACCAGAATTTTAAATGTTGCCATGAAAGTTAAGCAATTCGTTGCTGGATTTTTATGTTTAAATCAATTCACATTAATTGAGATGAGGAATCCAGAAATGTAATGGAAAATGGCAAAGTTTTATCAAAATGAATACATTAAATTTTGAAAACAAACTCAATTCTATAACCTCATACAAGATGGGCTAGCAATTGTGAAACATAGCGTGACTTTGTTGTGTGATTTGTGCAATATCACTTTGTAATGCGCTTGTGAAACAACACTGTATCTTGAAAACAAAGTCATGGACCCCCATTTTTTATTGCATTTTTGGATTCCGCATTGCAATTAATGGAAAATGACAAAGTTTAATCAAAATCTATCAAATGGATTTTGAGAATGAATACAATACTGTAAGCCTCATAGAAGAAGCTTCACTAATGCTTCAATAATCAATATAAAGATGATAAAATTTCCTTAAAGTAGTTATAAAATAATTTGTGCTCTTTTTATATAAACATGTAAGACTAGCAGACCCCACCACATGTTGTTGTGGCTCAAAATGTATCTATTATAAATGTATAACACTTCCCCCGTGTGGGGGAAAATTTTTCGAAACATTTCTTCTTAGTGTACATTCTCTTGGCGTACCCTATTAAAACGCAATCAAAAACGCAAAAACCTGCATCTAAAATAGTATAATAGAAGCCAAGTTCTTCAAGGTAAGCCTTAATTCTGTCTCTCCCCCCACGGGGGGAATATTGAAAAATCCCTTTTTAGTGTATATTCTGTTGACATACCCTATTAAAATGCAATCAAAAATGCAAAAAAACCACATCTAAAATAGTAGAAATAGAAGCAGAGTTCTTTACGGTAAGCCTTAATCCTGTTCATCTCCCCCCAGTGGGGGGAATAAAAATACGTGCGTATTCGAATTGTGTGAAAATTTCAAAGGAATTGGTAGGAACAAATGAACATTACATTTTTATTTATATAGATAGATAGAAGATGATCTGCTTTAGTTCATCCTCACAGAAAAGCAAACTTAGGGCGTCATACTCGTAGCGCCATCTGTTGGACATAAAAGCCTTAACCCTAGATGATATCTTTTAATTTATATGAATGTTTAACAAAAAATCTGCAGGTTTGATTAGTGGTAAACATTCCGGGGGTCATAAAGATGCTACAGTTAAAATTTGGTAACGATTGGTTCAGTAGTTTTCACGGTTAGTGGTCACAAACGAAAAATACGTTGTCTCTTTATATAGTAGTATAGATTTATTACAATTAGAATACATTTAACAATTCAATTTAAACAATTTATTTTAAAATAAAAAAAATCATGGTCAATAAGAAACTTCCTGGCCATTTCTATTTTTCCTGATAAGTGTGGGCACCTATTGTATTTAATTCTATTATAAAATCACAAAATAAATTTTAGGTAAAATGTTTAAATAAATAATCTACACAACCACTCACCACACCATATAGTTAATCACATATTCTGAACCAATTATGGGTGTAGATGTGTAAAGTTTTTTGTTTTCCTCATCTACACACCATAATTGGTTCATAATATGTGATGAAATAATCTACAGTTATATTACCTCATATGCATACTGTTCCAAGTCTTCTAATTGATTTTTCAGTTTACATATTAATTCTTTTTGCTTAATTCTTTGTTGGGCTAATTTCTGTTCATGCTCCTGTTCAGTCTGCAATTAATATTTTAAACAATTTATTAAACTGATTTCAAATATGATAATTAGAATTTTAAAAAATAGTATAGTTTTATGTTTAAAATAATTAATAATCTAAATTAACTGATTTATATTATAAACCAGTGTAAATCAATTGAAATTTAATGCAAATAAAGACAGTATATATTAAGTATAAAAGTTTCTAGAAAAATCCACATAAGTTTGTGTAACAGTTTTTACCCTGGAAAAAAAATGCTATGAACTAAATAGTCATTTGAAAAGTGATGAAAGGCTTACATTATCTTTTATTTTTGTAATTGTACAAGTCCTTTAACTTTGGGTGTGCAGTGTAAGTTTCTGTACAAGACTTTGATTCAAATTTTTCAGACTACTTTATGAGATAGATCTGTTTTTTTTGCATTCTATCCCTTTCAGAAATGGCTGCCTTGAGAATTACCCAAAAATTCTCAACTGGTCTAATTTCTAGCACATTTGCGGGTTGTCCTTCTTTTCAAGGTAATTCAGCATGGTTTTGGCATAGTGGGAACTTGCTTCATCTGGCTAGAAGACAATCTGCTTGAGAGTACTTTAAATGTAAGGAATCAGGCAACATTGTATACATTCATTTAAATATCACTGCGTATTGGAAGCAAACTTGATTTTCTGATTAAGGCATGGTACAATCCTTTCAGCCCCATTGCAATTTAAACCAAAACTTTCCCTCAAATTTATTTTTCTTGGAAAATTTTACATTGTCAAGTCTAAAGATTTCACTGGCATAAAATCAACCATTACCATTGATTGTCAAATAAAAAAGGGTGAAGTAAAATTCATCATCAGAAATGAAGAACTTTTCAGAGAACTTTCACAATAATCTTCCATATTTCATCTTTGCCAGTGATTTTTGTATATCCATTCTGTCTGGCACTACCTGCTTATTTTGACATTTAATGTGTTTTTGTTTTCAAAACCATGTGAAGCCAAGTATGTGAAATTTTCAGTTTCAGACTATAGATTGAATTGAAACCTTGTCACTGTTTTCAAAGGTCCTCTTCAATCCTCCCAACTTGGCTTTCATTAGGATTTTCACTTTTCTACCACTTTCCTCTCTGTGGTAGTAAGCCACTCTTGAAACATTGATGAATGCAATATATAATCTTTTTTTGAAATTTCTTCATTCACAAATTGGTTTATAATAAACTTTCTCCTAATGTTTTAATTAATATTTAAATGTTGTACATTCTTAGGCAAAAAGAATCATCTTTTGCTTCCATTTTGAAAGAAGCAGAAAATAAAATGTACAAAAAGATTTTAGAAAGTTCTACTGCATTCAACACTTTCAAATTATAGTACATGCAGCATAATTAAATTATTGGCTGTTAGCTAGAACCCAAGATTTTTTTTTGTGGATTTTTTCTAGTCACCTAGTAGACAGCTTTTTAAAATTCTTTTCTATAAACTGGTCTTCTTTAGAAGAAATAAACCTAAATCATAAAAGCATGTCAAATACAATCTTCTGTTCAAATGCAATGCCTTTATAATTCATATATAACTTATCTGTAGAAGGCCTATTAAAAGATATATTAGATTTAAATATTTATGAATGAACTATTGTTATAGAAAAAACTCTGTATATTATTAAAATTACACAATATTTGAATGATTGATTTATTAATACAAAGAACCTTCATATTAAGATACATTATCAATTACAATTTCTTATTATAAATGGATTTGGTCCACAATGAAGTTTGCTAGCATGAGAATTGTTTAATTTTGATTGTCTTCATATCTTGCTGTAATGCAGTTATAAATACAAGCTGAATCACATTTATTTATAATAACAGTTATTTTAAAATACATAATTTTATCAAAAGTAGAAGCGAAATAAAAGTAAAAAGTTATTGTCATTTCTGATGCAGCATAAACAAATGAACAAACGATATAGAAAACTTATTAAATTAATTAGTTGTGCAATAAATGTTTTTAACTTCAACTAATTAATCTAATTAATTTCAGGTTAAAGTGAGATAATAAGATAGATCAATTTTGTAATTATCCAAGAACAGAAGTAACTTTTGACATTTTAAAAACATTAATAATAGTTGCTAAAAGTCCTTGAACACTTAGAATTATCTCATCTTTATTTTGAGTCATCATCAATAACCATTTAAAACCATAAATGAATTATGTATGAAAGAATTCAATTTATAAATTTTGAAAAAGTTGAATAGAATTTTTAAAGACCTGGTTATTGAAAATATCCATTTTGATTTTCTGTGTATAAATAACAAACTATTTACTGTTCACATAGTGAAGAATATTGAATCAATAGTTGAAATAATGCAGCATTATTTAAATATTAAAACTATATTTTGTTATTAAAGAATATTTTGTTTTAATTATTTTTCTCTGATGGAAAAGATGTTTTAGCTGTATCTAATATAATGAAGTTCTTGAAGGAGGAGGAAAAATAATAAATATTAATAATTTAATCTTTCTTTTTTTAACTGTCCATTATTGAAATTGTTTTAAAATAAGTTAGGTACACTAATTCTATTTTTGAAGCTCTTTATATTCAAAGTTCTTTATAACAGCATTATATAATTAAATGCTGATCCTAGACTTTTTAAAGCTGCACCAATAATATATATATGTAACTTATCAAATTTATTAAAATGCTGTACTCACTAGGTCTTCCATACTTTAACATATTCCTTTTGTGTTCTTAGAAAAATTAGATACTTAAAAATAAAGCAAAGAATCTTATTTCCTTAAAATGAAAATTTGAAGATTAAGTAATATTTGTAAAACTAATCATTAAAATTAAAAATTTTTATTTTTACACTAGCAATTTTATGTTATTATTTGAATAACTAATTTCGTAATGACTTTTTGTTACATCTTATAAAAAATTAATAAATGTTTTAATTACCACAGCTTGGGTTAATTGTACACCAGTCTTATAGTCTCTGATATCAGGAATACCACTAAATGCAAATTCTTCCAGATCTTTCAAAAGTGTCTACAAAAGTAATTTAATTTCAATAAAATCTTTTTAATATTACAAAATCTAAAAATATGGTAAAATTTTACTTCTTTTTCTTGCGGAGTCGCGTCGACTATTTGTTTTAGGCGAAATTGAACCTGAGCAAAATGTGTTGTTAATGCAATTAATGAAGAATTTAATTGATCTTGTTCCTCTTCTAATTTTTGAAGTCTCTCTCTTTCATCATAATTTCTAAAAATAAAAGAAAGTGATATAAATATAATTTTCTTTCTATTAAAATATTAAAATTTATTACATTCTAACAATTTTAGAAAATATATTTGATATATTTTATATATTTATTTAAATACTACAATATGTTTTACAATTTTAAATTAGTAAGTTTGTAAAATTCAATAATTTATATTGATAACAATAAACAGGATTTAAAAATCATTACTAAAACAATTCAAATATTTTCATTATTAAAGAATAACTTCTTCAAAAACAAACAAAATTCAAAATAGAATATGTTAAATGACTTTATAAGTGCTTTTATATTGAATTATATTTATATTGCTTTAAAGTGCTTTTATAGACATAGAAATGCCTCAAAATTGACAATGAAGAAGAAAGCATCAACAGGAGTGGTTACAAGTCTGTTGTTCAGAAGAGATTCTGTAAAACAGGAATTTTTGCATATAAGACCAAGAAGAAACTATTAACAACAAAGAAAACGAAAAAAGCAAGATTGGAATGGGTCAAAATGCATTGCAACTTGACAATGGAACAATGATAACATCATATTTTCAGATAAGAGCCATTTTTAATTATCCAGTGACCAACTCTAACTGGTAGACAACTTGTTGCAAAGTGGATGAAAAAGTATTATTCAGAATGCCTAGTCAGTCCAAAAAGTATTCTTCTTCAGTAATAACTTGGAGTGCAATCACTTACAATGACATTTGAAGGCTTTGTTTCATGGACAGCACGATAAATTCAAATTGGTATAAAATTGTCATACCGATTTGAAATAAGAGATACATTTGGATTTTCCAACTCTCTGCCACATGTCTAGACAGATAAGTGGACATTTCTAGTTTTAATGATATTCAATTCCTTTAAAATATAAATAATTATCAACATTTTGCTCTTCCAGATGCAAAAGAATGTAATCTCAACCCAATTGAAAATGTATGTATCTCATGACTCTTGAAGTTCAAAAAGCACAGCATTCAAAAGAATGAGAGCCAGTAGAAAATGCTGTTCATACATGGCACTATAACATTAGTTATGATGTTATTTGAAGCCTGACTGACAGCATGCCAGAGCAAATTCAGAACGTTATTAAAGCCAAAAGTGATGTCACAAATATTAATGATTAAAACATATACACCAATGTATTTGTATCTTGTTTTCATGAATATTTTATCTAAACTGTTTGTTTATTAGCTCTTCTTCAAACATATTCTCAAAACAGGTTTCTACATTTTCACAAATCATATTGTTATTGCTATCAGAAAAGAATAAATTACAATAAACTGGACTTGGCAGTTCTTATTTTCCTTCTACATTTATCACTACTTATCACTAATACATCATACCCATCATAGATTACACCTACATTATTAACATATTGTGTGCCTGCTGATTCATATAAACTCAGCAGGCACACAATACTTTAGAACACTAACATATTTTATATAATGCCAAACAATTTCAGGATTATATTGGGGTATATTAATGCTACTATTAATAATTAAATGCTATGTAATATGGCCTAGAATTAGGCATTACGTGCCATCTCTTGATAAAATTTAATAATTATAATAAAGTTACTATTTAATAATTAATTTAGAAATGAATTCTGGAAGAAAAGAATTGGCCAAAAGCAGGACTCAAGCCTGCAACTCCCAATTTAATTATTAATAGTAATATAGCAAGATTAATGCAAAATTACTGCAGGATTATATCTTAAAGATTAGATTATTCAACGTTTATATTTTATATAAATTTTAATTAAACAAATTTTTATGTTTTGAAAAGAAACTGTTAAAAAGTTTGTGCTCATTAGTAATAATTTAGCAGTAAAAAATAAAATGCTCTTACAAATACTATTTAACTATTACAATAAGCTAAATTTTATTAATCATTTATAATTTTACATTTAATTTTATACTCACTCATAATCACAATAATTTGAGAGAGAGTCTAATTCGCAAGCACCAACAGGAGCCCATCTTTCTAACACACGATCACCTTGATTATCTTCTTCACTAATTTCATTCTGAAATACTGTTTCTTCATTCATAGTCATTTTCTATATAATTAATCAATTTTTAATTATTATTTTTATATTTAATTATTAAAAAATATGACAAAAAATATATCTAAAAATATATATCTTATTACTTTAACAAAAACTATTCATAAAATGCTTAAATGAAAAGAAAACATTATTTTGAAATGTCTTTAAAAGTTAATTTCAATTTACTCTTGAGACTAATAAAAGTTTAGATGATTTAAATCCAAAACAAAAAGTATTATATCAATATACATTAAATATCATGATGTGAATTAATACAAAAGATAGAGAAGGCTTAGAAATATTTAACGTGATGTACAGGGAAGATATTAAACCATAAGCAAATGAGGGCAGTAAACAGTTGACCTAGT